ATTCCATGTTTACACTTTCAATCATGTGACAGAATGATTAAGGAATGAGGAATACTTTATTTTCCGTAAGAAAAAATTCATTTTCAAAACATCGGGAATTGTATTCGTTAGGATGAGATGAAATCGCGCGATCACATTGTTAATTCAGTGTGATTCATGTTCAGTATAAAATTATTCGCATTGACTTGAGGTGTCACTCACCCACTCAGCATAATATACCGCTTCCAGTTTGTGTGAATTCAGTGTAAAATTTCCAGTGAAAATTGTGCTATTCAATGCAGCACTTGCCCGAAATATGGACGAAACGATGCTTCAGAGTGATTGACACTGCACAAATATTGAATAATGAAAACATATGTGCTACAAATTCACAGACACATATCTTATTTAAGTCTATAATAACTATTTACTCAAATCTTATTTTGCTTTACAATAACCTTCATTGTACCTACTTGATTATTAACATGATGGAGTTGACCATCAGTTTCTAATAATTCGTACACTGACTAATCGATAGCATGGCTCACTTTTATTAGTACATTTGTATGAACTACGCTCTAGGAATTCCATCAATCATATGGATGTAGAAAAAATGAACAAATATGTTCACCACATCGACTTATTTGATTTATCTGCAGAAACTGACGGCACTCGAAAAGGGGAAGCACTGAGAGAAGAAACAGAACTGAAAGCAAATAAACATTTTAGTCCTCCCTCCAAAATATACGCCAACCAATCGTTTTCGTTGAACACTCCTTGGACGGGTTTGTGAACGTTTATGGTCATTGAGAATACGAAGTTAACGTGTCAGTGTATGACAAATTTCCGTAGTTTCAATTCGTGTCGTTCGAGGTTTTCCTTTCACTGCGAAATACTCGGCGTTAGAAGATTTGTCGATCTGTATAATATGGTCGGCAGATAAAGCCAGCTCGTCTACGGCTTTCTTCTGAAACGGGACAAGCACTGCATGCATCTGTTGAGGAAGTTTACACAAGGAAAGTTTTCTAAACAGGCCACCATCAAAAGTCCTTCAACCAATTACCTTTCGCATTTGTAACAACATGTTCGTTGCTGAGCCATGTTGCAGATCGATGTTGTTGACGAGTTGATCTAACACTTGTCGACGGTTTAGATCTCCGCATTTCACAATAGACCGTCTCAGAGTTTCATAAGTTTCCGAAATATCACAAGTAAGCATACTGGATGTGACGAATCTGTTGAATTTCCGTGGTAGTGCCTTCATTGCTGCGAGGAATTGTGCACATGGATCAGTCACGCTGTGCTCGTAGAATTCAGTCTCTGTGTAGCACAACCAGGCTTCGATGTTGTCCGGCCAGCATGGCATTAGCTGAAATTAGGTCGGTGTCATAGAATTGACCTTGTGTAAATTAGCAGTCTGTTCTGTCATGGAGAATATGAAGTACAGGAATGAATGAAGGCAAAAAATATCACAATACATATAAATTAAAATAAAGCAATGATATGCGAAGTTCTCAAGAGGAACAGACTCACAGTTTGCGAGTTGATGTACAAGATAACGTCGGTTCATCAATGAAGATGCCACAAGTATTTGCAGTTTGACAACACTTTAATCAGTAACACCCTCTATCATTGAATCGTGCCCACCCAATGAAATCAAAAGTCAGAAGCGAGGAGGTTCGAAGATATATTTATAAATATTATCGAGACTTGACCGATCTAATCTAGCTAGCACTTGCAGGAAGTGTTGAGAACGGCGTTCCCACTCGCGATCTGGTGCGGATGGGTGACCAAGCGCCTCCAGTTAGGTCAGTCCATTTTAACTAATGTGGTCAGATTCAAATGTCAAAGACTTACAGAGCTGTAGATTTTGGGGATTTATTTACCACTACATAATGAAAACACAAAAAAAAACATTTAAGCACATAACTTCTATTTGTAATTTGAAAAATCGTTAAGAAGCACAATATGAACAATGATGTGTCAGATGATGTAGTTTGTCCACAAATGTATACAGGAAGTTAGTAAGCTTCTTCAATTCTTCAATTCCAATGTGATCAGTCACATGACCACTAAATCATACCGGTATTCGTCTTTGCAAATCTCCCGTGGACGCTCACCACAGTGCAAGTATTTGCAAAAGAAATTAATACATACAACTCCGTATTACGTATACACTGCTCTATGTGTTCTAAATCAAATGTCCAATTATAACGACTGAATTAGTCAGGAGCTAACCTAAATTGTTGTTTGCACAGTATCTAACACAATGTAGGCTTAACTGAATGATATTTGGCAACAAGATAATTCAGTTTTATCAACTAACTGCCATCACAATCACTTTGAAAATCTATTTGTTGAACACATTCGTCTGAGGTGAAAATGACTAATTCTCTTATTTCTGTCTGACGTAAATGTCTGACTTGTCTACAAACACCTACTGTAAATAACCTCAACCAGTCTGAGAAAACAAACACACAGTGGACTCATACAACAGACACATCAAATAAATAGGAGGTGAGAAATAGCTGTAGCTGTATCCTTATCGATTAATTTGTTCACATATTAAACAAAGATATGACTCATCCAAGGTCAGTATAATCACAGTGGTAAGATTGTGGAATGTAATTGAAGAAGAACTAGAGCGGTAAAAGTATAGTATAGAGACGAGTCAATTAGAATCGAGAATGTGGTTTTGTCGGAAATGGCGAGCAATAAAAACGCATTTGTGCACTGCCCAATACATTTAAAATATTTGTGAAGAACTACTTTTTGTCACTGTTAATTTTCTCTTACATTGTTCCTACATGTTCCTTTTCTACTCTTTTGTATGTTGTTTTATACTACTTATTTACATTCAGTAGGCAGTTGTATACCCAACAATTTTCACACTTATGTTGTAACTCAAGTTGTACTGTAACATTCTGGAATGTTCACATATATCTTTAATGTTTATTTTACTCATAATTGTATTTATCATTATAATCACTGTAATTTAATTACTGTAAAGGTTATCCACAGTTTTATGCATTTGTTTGAATGCAACGGTTTCCATATTGTTTGCTCTTGGTTCGAGTTTCGGTTGTTCATAAACTGTTACCAAATTTAGACACAGCTATCGGCTGTCTTTGGACTATCGTATGTTGTAATCATTCTTTATGTTACTCTTACAGGAAGCCTTTGCTATTTTTATTCTTGAACGACGCGTTTGAACGCCCAGACACCTCACAAGTTGAGGTTTGTAACTAAATTTTGTATATTATTTAATAAAGAACCGCTTTTGTAGACAAATCGTTGTTTTGGAACTTCGATTTCGCGCGTATCTCAATCGGGGTTACTTCGACGCTTCGATAGAATTAACAGTTCTCAACTTTGGTCTCATTTGGTCTGGATACAGTTCTGAACTTTGGTCCTAATTGGAGGGAACACTTCCTGTAACGAAATTTGGTCGGAATTCTGTTTGGTTCATTCATCCCAACGATGACTAGAACGAGAAGAATGAAGTACAACGATGACAGTTCCCAAGACACAGACAATTCCAGTGCTGAAAATATTATTCCTTCAGTTTCCAAGGTGAACTCACCTATTCCTTTAAATCTTGCCTTTGATGTTGTTAAACCTAACCCCAAAGACAGTTGCTCGGTAGGAGACAACTATATAGAGACTAGATACAGTGTAGAAGACGAAGTGGACTCTAGGGAAAGGGAAGTAGAAAAGATTGAGCTGGAGATAAGAGAACTCCAACTACGCAAGCGATTGTTAGAGCTAACTCCGAACTCTTCAAACAAAGTGAGAAGACCTAGGGAGACTACCGAGTTGTCGGGGTCTCGATCCGAGGATAAAACTTCGGCAGTTACAGCAAGTCACCGATACACCAATGTACTTTCGAGCGATGAAATGCAATTCAAAGCACAGGTAGATAGTGTCAAGGCGTTATGTATGTCAGTAAGCTTACCGAAGATAGAAATCATGAAATTTGACGGGAGCCCTCTGAAATTTTGGACGTTCATGAAGGGATTCAAGGTTAACATAGCTGACAGAGTAAATGATGACACCCAGAAATTAATGTACTTGATACACTATTGCGAAGGTATAGCAAAGGATGCTATAGAACACTGTGTTTTATTACCAGAAAAAGAAGGTTATACTGAGGCAATTAAGCTTCTACATGAACGGTTCGGCAGACCACACGACATCGTAGAAGCCTTCTTAACAGAACTCTTAAGTGGATCACCATTGAATCAAGACGACATAACTGGCCTACAGAAACTGACAAGACTCATGACTAATTGTAAGATAGCCTTGTCACAGATGGGCAGGAATGACGATCTGAATTGTTCGACCAACATAAAACGAATAGTGAAACAGCTACCACGTAGTATGCAGTTTAAATGGGCGGAGGCCGCGGACGATATTTTAAGAAAGGGGCTAGAGCCCAATTTCGATGATTTATTACAATTCTTAGAAAAGAAAGTGTCAATCGCAACAAACACATACGGACAATTGGCAGGCGGAAGCTATAAGGCTCAAACGACATCGAACAACCGGTCGTCTTCCATAAGAGCGAAGATCCATACTTCGTCGATTAAAGGATCAGTCCATTGTGTAATTTGTCCGATGCCCACGAAGTCGCATCCTGCCCTCAGCTGTTGTCAGTGAGTCACAACGAAAAAGTAGAATTGCTAAAGAAGTTTAAACTTTGCTTTAATTGCTTAAAACCCAATCATCGAGCCACAGAATGCAGACAGCCCGTGTTGTGTGAAATTGATGGATGCAAGCGACGCCATCATAGAATTCTTCACAACACAGAACCTGATGTTAAACGAGCATATTGTAACTCTACTCATACTACTAGGACGTATTTAGGCTTTGTTCCAGTCAGACTACATGGTCCCACAGGTTATGTGGATACCTATGCACTGTTAGATAATGGCTCGGATTCGACATTACTGCTTAGTGACGTAGCAAAGCAGGTAGGAATTTCTGGTGCAGGGACAAGATTAAACATATCTTCAGTAATTGGAGCGTCATCTCAGAACGCTGAACTTACCAATTTCGAAATTGAGTCTTTAGATAAGACCAACCGAATAAAAATCGAAGGTGCATATACTATAGATAACCTACCTATTAAAAGAGCAGAAATCCCACCAACGGACTTCCAAGAAAGATGGAAACACTTGAAAGGTGTACAACTACCCTCCATAGCCTGTGACAAGGTTGGTTTGTTACTTGGTGTTGACGTTCCTGAGGCCCACTGGGTACTCGATCAGCGTATCGGAAAACCTAAACAACCCTATGCTTCACTAACCATGTTAGGGTGGGCTTTATTTGGACCAACGGGTCAACTTAATAAAACTTCAGTCTTCATGAACTGTTTAAAAGCGAAAAATTCCCTTGAGGAGGATATTCTCAAATTATTTGAACATGAATTTTCTGAAAATAAATACTCTGATAAGGTTACTATGTCCCTATGTGATAAGACCATTATGGAGATTACTGACAAGCAAACAGTATTGCTCGAAGGACATTATCAAGTGCCGATACCCTGGAAGGTGGATTGGCACTCACTTCCAAGGAATAAGCGCGAAATAGAAAAACGACTAATTTACCTACGGAAAAGGTTGCTAAAGGACGAACAGCTTCGGAAACAATATAATATATATTAGCTACCCACGAAAGTAAAGGATATTTGTCTCGAGTAACTCAAGCTATCGAAGAAGAAAGGTATTTTATTCCACATCATCCCGTATTTAACCCTAAAAAACCAGGTAAAGTTCGGATAGTCTTCGATTGTGCTGCTAAGTTACAAAACAGATCTCTAAATGATTGTATATATTCTGGACCAGATCTTACAAACGACCTAGTGGGAGTTTTGCTTAGATTCAGAAAGCATAAGATTGGATTGTCAGCAGACATTGAAGAAATGTTCCTCCAGGTACATCTACCCGAAAAGGATACAAAGGCCTTCAGCTTTTTATGGTACCCCGATGGCAATCTTGATTCTCCTCCTGAGGTCTATGAGTTGCATGTACACCCTTTCGGGGCTACGTCCTCGCCGTTTTGCGCTACCTATGCTTTAAGACGTACAGCTACAGACCACCGAGATTTGTTTGATGAAAAAACCCAGTCCACCTTACGAGAAAATTTTTATGTAGACGATTGTCTAGTCTCAGTAGAAACAATATCAGAAGCTGCCGAGTTAGCAAAGAACCTGATAAGACTCGTTGCGCTTGGAGGTTTTCGTTTACATAAATGGGTTAGTAACGTAAATGAAGCGCTGAATGACGTCCCTATAGGTGATAGATCAAACAATTTGGTTCGTATACCAGGTTCAACAGAACGTATACAGAAAACTTTAGGACTTTGTTGGCACACGCAATCCGATTGTTTTGCATTTGACGTAAATCTTCCCGAACGCCCGATCACTAAGAGAGGCATTCTATCATGTGCATCATCGTTATATGACCCGCTTGGATTTCTAGCGCCTTTATCACTTACCCCTAAACGAATTCTGCAACAGCTATGTCGTAAAAACTATGGGTGGGATGAGATGATAGATGAAGAGTCACGATTGAGTTGGGAAGGTTGTTTAGAAGCAAAGAGTTCTATCGAGGACGGACCCACGCCACCCTCTTCTTTGACCACAGTAGCGCCTGAAAACTCTTCAAATCGTTTGTTGCCGTTCATAGATGATCCTGGTTTATGCCTTAAACACTCTCCTGATGTGGCACTCTTAGTCGATGATGATGATGTGCGCTCACTCATAGTAGCAGCAACCGCTGTTAAGACTGAAGATTTCAGGGTTCATCAAGGTTTACCGTCAGTTCGTTCTTCTGGATTTGACACTCCACCTGATTCAAGAAGTAACCGACTTATAGACACCTTTGACTCTGTATCTAAAAAGACAGACGAGAATCTAATGGATTTAGAACAAGTTATTTCATTACAGGCTGTTGACGATGAGTACCTTCTAAAAACTGTCAACGATAGTCACGTCGATACAGTAGTGAATATTGACCTTAGATATATTTCTCCTCCAGACAAAATTCTTCCAACAGATAGCGGCGAGTTAATGTCATCGAAAACATCTGTTAGGTTCTCTGCCGAAACAGATCTCCCTAGTGTTTCTGACGTGAACGATAGTGCTAAATCTGTAATACTACTACACGAGTCATCAATTAGTTGCAAAGCAACAACAACTCAGTTCTCTGCAAATACGAAACTTGTATCTCCTGTAGTAGCGTCTGCTGAGAGTTCTATTGACATCAAGCGTGAAACAGAGAATCAGAAAGATGATTGTTTTATTCACTCTGCTGATGATGATAAGAAGTTTAAGACAACTGTATCCATCTCCCCTTTAGTTGAGTTAGACAAGCAGATACAACATCCATTACCAGACTTTAATGATAGTAGAGTAGCCGAAGAAATGACTCATCGGAACATAGAATGGCACCATAACACTCCTTACGCAAATCATCATCGAGTATGGGAAAGATTAATAGGAAGCATACGTAGACTTTCGAGCGCAGTATCTATGTCCTACGAGACACTCACCACCTGTTTGACTGAAGCAGAGAGAATACCTAATGATAGACCACTCTTACAGACGCGAACGAAATGGACACAAGGAAGACGAGATTTACAAGTTCGCGGTCCAGTCTTGATTATTGGAGACACTTGTACACGAAATTACTGGCCTAAAGGCCTCGTGGTAAGTTTTGATCCAGGAGGAGATGGTCTATGGAACCAAGCGAAGATCAGAACGTGGAAGGGTACAATTATTAGAGGCATATGTAAAATTTGTTTATAAGAAGGAGCTGATGACCGAAAAGTAGAGGATAGAGAGACTTTTCAGAGTGACTGTGGCTAGAGTAAATTGTACCATTGTCACCTCTGAATGTTTTTACGTTAATACCTAATCTGCGAAAGTAAGGAAAGACATGCTATCTTAGGGGGGCGGTGTTAAGTTTGTCTTACAGTGTTCCTACATGTTCCTTTTCTACTCTTTTGTATGTTGTTTTATACTACTTATTTACATTCAGTAGGCAGTTGTATACCCAACAATTTTCACACTTATGTTGTAACTCAAGTTGTACTGTAACATTCTGGAATGTTCACATATATCTTTAATGTTTATTTTACTTATAATTGTATTTATCATTATAATCACTGTAATTTAATTACTGTAAAGGTTATCCACAGTTTTATGCATTTGTTTGAATGCAACGGTTTCCATATTGTTTGCTCTTGGTTCGAGTTTCGGTTGTTCATAAACTGTTACCAAATTTAGACACAGCTATCGGCTGTCTTTGGACTATCGTATGTTGTAATCATTCTTTATGTTACTCTTACAGGAAGCCTTTGCTATTTTTATTCTTGAACGACGCGTTTGAACGCCCAGACACCTCACAAGTTGAGGTTTGTAACTAAATTTCGTATATTATTTAATAAAGAACCGCTTTTGTAGACAAATCGTTGTTTTGGAACTTCGATTTCGCGCGTATCTCAATCGGGGTTACTTCGACGCTTCGATAGAATTAACAGTCACTATCATATAAATGATAGTGTAGGACATATCGAGTGCTCAATTCTGTCTTTGTAAATTCCATGTAACAGGTGAATCGACATTATCCGTATATCCTCACTGTAAACACTTATTTTGTGGACTAACTGATCAGATAGTGCTTCTTGACTTTTGTGCTAAATTTATTCATCCATTCAGTTACAAATCATTTTTGCATTACTGCTGATGTACTTACTGTACTCTGCCAGTTATAATACCAATTATTTTTCACTACTTGTTCACTACTTGTTAACCACATATCTGCTCAGTGTCATTTTCGAAAGCAGACAGTTTTTCAATTTAATCTGCTATCAATTTGATCCATTTAATACTTCCATATATCTAATGATGTATTGGAGAACAAGGTTTAATTCATCACGTGTGTTTGTCACACACTCAATTGGTATGAGTGTTTTGTACGATTGATTGGGAGGGTGAACATATAGAAATGATCACACGATATTCTCGTTGTAGCAGATCACATCAAATTGTATATTGGTAACTAGAAGAATAAAATAATCAAAACTTGTCAGTCCTATTCGCTCATCACCATTCATCTTCTATGTGATTTATGTATTATCGATCGTTAATTTGTTGTTTATTTGTTTATAAAAAATTGATTCCTTATACACATCATTCCCTTTATTATCTTAAAGAGAGCAAGAACAAAGATTGGTGAAGAATAATATGAATTCATTTTATTCCGTTAGGTTCTCATCAGCTGCTACATCATGATACACATGTATTGATCCTTAATCACACTCTTATGTATAAATATGTCAATATCTGTAATAATATTGAATTTCAAATAATTTCGGTTGTAAGCAACTGCTGAGAACCCAACGAAATAAAATGAATTCATGTTAGTCTGCACCAACCTTTGTTCTTGCTCTCTTCAAAATTGATTCTTCATTATTCATTGAATTACTGAATAAAAAGACAAGATAATGAGAAACATATTTCATGTTATTGAACAATGTGTAGTGTGGCTTCGAGTCCCAGTTGACTATTAACACCGCTACCAAGAAAACACGTGTCAAACAAATCAGAAGGCGGATTAGAACCTAATTTGTTCAATTGGCGATTCCGAGGTATCGAATGAATATCAAGATCGTGCCAAGAAATAGTACAAGCGGAAGCAAGGGAACGGAGTATGTACGAACAAAGCCAAGAACCGCGAAACATTGATGGAAGGTGTGGAAGCACAAAATGGCTGTAATTAGCACAGTTAAACAAAAGCGCATTGGTTATATTAATAATTGTTTTCATTAAACCAATCATGTTCTCGTAATAAAAGTAAGTCACTACATATGTTTAATCAAAGCTTAGAACAACTGGAATTATATCGTTAATGTCATGTAGCGACCGAACAGCCAATATTCGGTTGGAGCAACGGACTGACGAACCCTAAATTTATTCGATTAGACCAGACCAAGTTCCTCTGTATAGCTCACAACGCGTCTTTGAGATACTCGTATTATATTATATCAAAACACAAACTCTGTGCTCAATATAAACGGTTCTAATTAAGAAAACAGAACAAATTACATCAAAAATACAAAATACCTCAAACGGTACAGCCTGTGCTATACAGTCAGAAGTTTCTCTAACTCAAAGTAGTGAGCTAAACGATGAAAGAGGCAGTCAATACTAAAGGGTTTGATACCTGAGAATCAATACAAATATTCCCAACAAGATGGGATCAAATATCTATCTCCAGGGATACCAGCAATCCTCCCAAGCAGACAGTCAGAAGGTTCACAATCACACACTGAACCACGCCGTGACCTTGAGCTTAGTCAAACACGACCTTACTGTCCATGGTCCGACAACATGCAATAGAAAATTAGGTAACAAAAGATATGTCTTTAATCAAAATCACATAATAAAGGCCCAAACGAGGAAGACTGAAGAACAAAAGATATGGTTAAACGAGATCGGAACAGTGGTTAAAATACACAACAGGGAGAAGAAACAAGTAAATGACAATACTGTTCAACAAAGAAGCTGCAGAGGGATTTTCATCGTTTTCTTTCCGTCACAGTCAAATGAACATTTTAGAAATTTATTCATCACGAAACTGTGTTAAATAGAAATTTTCGAAAAAATAAATAGAAAACTAGTCTGTTTTTCTTCTTCTTCTTCTTCTTCTTCTTCTTCTTCTTGTTATTGTTGTTGTTGTTGAGGTTTTTATCAGGAAAAGAAATTGAACAATCTGAGAAAATTGATAGGAAAATCAACTCATTACATTTGAACATGAATAAAGTAATATGTAACAAATTGTAATGGTGGTACACGTAACACTGGATTTACTTTGTCGCTTCCTCAATAATACCGTAATGTAGGCTGTCAGATTAAAAAAATACAGCAAAGTTATTTCTTTGAACAGGGACAAACATGTAATGACAGTGTGTTCAAGAAATTCACATCTACACATCAACTACATGAGGTTGAAATACTTATCCAAAAACAACGAAGGCAATTTGCAATTGAGACGCAGTGAACGAATGAATAATCATCAGTTACAACTAGTGACTTCGTAACAACAGGAGTAAAATAAGAATTAATCATTGATATTTGACCTGAACAGTTTTAGTTGAAATAGACTTGAAAATGGAAGAATAAAATTGAAAGTAATTTGATGATGACCAGAGAGAAGAGAGAAGTCATACAAACAATTGCTAGGTGTGGAAACTGTTCATTATGTTCATAACGAACCAATCCAATGGTTGTTTAAACTCCTACTACGTTAATCTGATCTGATGTGTCTGTCAACTATCCCTGTTGCATGTGACCTACCAATTGAACGCCATTATTATCCTATAGTGTTAGTGTGACTCATAATTTTTATTCATTTCGATGAGACACGCAATACTGGTCGATATGTTTGGAATTGTGAAAATATGCACAACCTGAACTGAGGTCACGATTAACCATGAATAAATTCCTAATACTATAACATATTCATCACTGGTTGATGAGGGTTGGTTAATTGGTGAGTTGCTCATAGATGGTGTGCAATAAACTACTCTTATTTTGTACGTCGCACTTGATCGTACGTTATCTTTATGTTCAGTAATAAGACACGCATTACTGGTTGGTATGTTTGTGCGTTTCGCCTAATGACTGTAATTTCCTCAATTATTGTACTAATTGAATAATTTTTACGTTCAGAAAGGGATAAAGTTTAAATCAAAGTTGTCCTTGTTCTGACCATAGCTCTCACATAGACTCTGTGCTCGCCAGTACGCGTTTACAGTTCTAGTAGTATATCTGTAGGACAAATTCAATCCTACAAACAGAGATCACTTGATTTCAGTTGAGAATTTGCACACATCCGACCTGGAAACAACACAGTCGAAGTCTCACTATCATGTTCACTAATCTCATCTTGGTCACATGCTTCAACTGTCACTTCCATGTGTCTCATGTTTGACTGGTCAATCAAACATTCACAGTATTAATATTGTCAATATATGTGATGCTTCTATTCTTCGTACAACATCTCGTCCACACATCATATTCATTATTCAGCTAAACATTAAATTGCATGATATGTTGTTTACTCGGAATTCATGTATTGATTATTTTAGGCTTCTACAACATCAACAACATCATGTTCAATGTGAATTACTGCATAGACAAAATAATGTGATTCGCATGTGTCCACCATCCTCCAAATCTATCATTCATAACAGTCATGCCAGTAGAGTGTGTGACACACACACGTGAATTTAACCTTGTCCCACAACTCATCATTAGATAGATAGACGAGATTGTTAAATCGATCTTCCTAATATATTGATTGATCGTTTCGAATTTATATGTATTTCTGTATTCAGTTTGTCATATATCTGGTTGCACTTTCATTACATGTGCTGCACACAAATGGAACTTGTTTGTTCATGTGTTTCATACAATATCTATGTGCACCGTTTCAAATAACAAATTTCATCTCGTGTCAATATAGTGGTTAGGAGGTTAAGCACACAACATGCGCACCAACACCACCAACAACACCACCACCAACATCATCACCACTTCAGATTCACATACTGTCCATCTGAGTGGCTACACTTTTGCGACAATGCAAAGTCTTCTCATCAGTAGTTTATATGGATAATTGAGCTTGAAGTTTCTGCTACATTATAATAATTAGTGGAATCAAGATACAGACAAATCGCTGGTAAGATTTCCCAATAACTATCGAATTGAAACGGGCAAATGATTGATAGTCGACAGAAAACTAAGGTGTAAATTAAATCTGTCTTCAAATTTAATGTTTCATCATCGAAATGTTGTTCGAGGAATAAGCGCATCGGTGTGTGTGAGTATTTTAACGAGATCAAAATCACGAATGTTTGACTAATAAACGGAATACACCCATTATGACATTAAATAAGAAAGAAAGATTAGTTCAGCGAAGAGTTCTCTTTTCGGCGAATTCATTTTCAAAGCTGTACAATCGCAAATATATATACTTATTTTTACAGGGTGATAATAATACTGACAAGAAACTTATGTTATACATGGTGACAGTGAGGTTAAATAAACAAAGGTATTAGAAAAAATTTTTAAAACAAGGAAAGTTTGATAGCAGGTGGCTGCTTCACCTTCCATCTTCCCTTCAAATCTTGTACCCCCAACCGGTGCGATCATTCCGATTAGATTTCATCTCTGTTTCAACATTTTATGTTATTTTATCATGCTGAGCTACCCTTACCTGATGAATATCTAAGCCATTAACTATCAAACTTTCCTCGTTTTAAAAAAGTTTTTCTAATACCTTTGCTTATTTAACCTCACTGTCACCATGTATAACATAAGTTTATTGTCAGTATTATTATCACCCTGTAAAAATAAGTATATATATTTGCGATTGTACAGCTTTGAAAATGAATTCCCCGAAAAGAGAACTCTTCGCTGAACTAATCTTTCTTTCTTATTTAATGTTTGACTAACCAATCACACATGAGACACGTTAAATCAAGCATGCAGACCAGTGACCAGATACAATACAGATACCAGACACAAGCAAGCAGACACAACTAAGCAAACACAACTGACATTCCACACTACACACTACACACACACACCACACACCACAAACCAACAAGCATTACCTGAATGTCTACTGAATCACCAACAAGCTAACAACATTCAACCAATAGTAACTCAGTGCATAGGATATACGATTGGTGGTAGAAAATTCTCAACGTGTCACCTGTCTGTCTCACACCCTCATTCAAAATATTATTTCTCTTCATTTCACAACCACAAAACAGGTTGCTTGATTATGATCAATACAGCTCGGAAGTCAGCTTGTGCATCAAGACCACTACCACCATCACCACCACCACCATCAACACGGTCGAAACAGACCACAGTCACACGATACACAACTGAGGAGTCTAGTGAATTAACCGAATTGATATTGAGATATCGGGATGTTTGGAAAGACAAGAGTCGTCCATGCGCTGTTCTTCGGAACCAATTGTGGATGCAATTTGCACGTTACCTACACTCGAAGGGATGGCCGAGAAGAAACTGGACTCATCTGCGTCGAAAGGGTCTGCACATGCTGAAGAAACTCAATAACACGACAATCAATCAGTGGGAGGTGTCGAAATGCAATCCCGATTCACCTGAAAATCACTCCAACCACACGTCACTCTCCAGTTCCAATGAAAATCGACACGTGAACGTGAACGGACAAAGTGATTCGGTAAGTTCGCCTTTCCCAATCACGTGCTAATTGTTTTCATCGAATTCAGGTGACCGAGAACCAGTCGAGTGTGCATCAAATCAACTTGCCTACACTCACCCCTTCACCAGTGGTAACCATCACCTCCAAACATCCCACATCAACACTCAGTCCTCCTACAAACCATGTGCAACCGAATCCCCCACACACAACTGGTCCAAAAATCCTGAATGCATTCTCAACAGCTCACATGTCTCAACAACTGGTGATTCCACATGATGCCAGAGTGCTGCAACCAACCACCACCAACCCCAACAACAACAACAACAACACCAACACGGTTGGTGAGGTGGCGATTAACCCTAACCGAGTCGCGTTACTGACTCCTTTCCAATGTGTCTCGTTCGGAGTCGCGAAAACCCATACTGCAGACGCATCTCCTATTCAAGAAGTGAATATCTCGAACTCACCATCCAACCAAACGAGTCGCATTCCTCTGACTGCAACAATTGATTTATCAACGTGTAGTGAGGACGAGGAGAGCTATCCAGAGTTGAGTGGAACGCGAAATCAGGCGAACACGAATCAGGTGAATGATTTTGGTGAAAATGCCAAGGATTGTATCACGTAAGTAGGACACCTCTTTTCAACTGACACGTTTCACCTTATGTTATTCCTGTAGTAGTAGTAGTAGTAGTAGTAGTAGTAGTAGTAGTAGTAGTTGTTGTTGTTGTTGTTGTTGTTATACTCTCACCACTAGCACCACATACTCCCGATTAGCTGACTGACTGCTACACACTGCTTGCTGTGTGATCATGAGAATGTGCACTGATTTTTATGACCATGACTGTCACTGTAGCTCTGTGAGAACGAGACTTAGCAGTAGGATTGGATTCACACAAGCAGTGAGTGAACCACACGACGAGGTAGATGGATAGATAGACAAATAGATAGACAGACTGACGGACAAATATGCAGTACTCTGTTCACTTACGTCCAATGGTGTTCCATCTCACGGAAGTGTCTTCGTCGCACGTTGTGCGTCACTCAATATCTTGATTATTGTTGTTAATATGGAGTGTGTGTGTGTGTGCATGCCTACTGAATATGGGGGGGTATCGAGTGAAAATTCCTATTTAGTTGTGTTTGTCAGTTGTGTATATGGTGTAGTAGATTTGATGATTAGGATATATGCGACAAATTGTATGTATATATAAGCATATGTATATCATGTCTCCTACATCGCCCTGGTGATTATAAACAGATGTTCAAACTGTGACTTGTTTTTGTAGATCCGAATGTGAGAGAACCCCATTGTCAGAGATGTTGATTCACAAGCAAATGAAGTGCCTAGATCTGAAGATTGAAATTCTCCAGATGAAGAAGCAATATTGGTCCGAGAAACTGAACTCATCATCGAAAAGCTGAATGTTTGGTGAAAGCCAATCTTCACATGAACTACCATTGTGATTGTCATCAATTCTTTTCACATATGGATAGTAAATTCAATTGTAAATTCAATTTATACATGTGTATGTATAGGTATTGTGACTGACGAAGATTGTTCTCCCTTTTCATCATTATTGTCTATTCGTGGTGTGTGTGTGTGTGTGTGAATTTGTCTGTCAGTTAGTCCTTTTGTTTCGAATCCATTTGAAGTGGACTGTTGTTCAATACTGCTCTGCTTCAAATGTTCACTACTCTATTGACTACTCTGTTGCATACTGTACATAATTAAATTTGAATGTTGGTTTTGTAAAAATCTTATTTTGTCTTTGAATTAATTTATGAACGTGATCGACAATTGTTTGTGTGGATGACGGATGATACTTGACTTTGAATACAAATATGTTAGAACTTTGTCAATTTTATTTCTTATCATGATGATCAATTGGTTTGATTTGTATTTATTCTAGTGATTTCTGTGTAATTAACTGCTTCATTGATATTTCATTTATGATACATATTCGATATATGTGTAGAGTTGATGTCAACTTGAAATTCTTGATGACCACATGTGACGGAGATAGGAGAGAATAAATGGTCTCATTTGAATGATGATGTGAATAATAATAATAATAATAATAATAATAATAATAATAATAATAATAATAATAATAATAATGTTGATCTTTGTTTTCGAATAGGTTCACTCTGTTTCCTGTTAACTTGTTTGTTAAATGAGTTATTCACAGAGCATTTATGTAAACCTTCATTGCCTGTTCTGCACAATTTCAACAATTTCAATGATGAGTAGTAGGTAAAATTGAATAGAATAATTGACTGATGATTGAGTTATATTTTGTGTTCAAAGTGTATGTGGAAATTCGTACAGTTGACTGTTGTATTTTGTCGAATGTGATTTAGAGAACGATTTGTTAGAATTGTCTTTGAATGTGTGATTTGTCCGATGATGTTTTCTCGTTCGTAAGTCAACTAGTTTGATAATATCCTTAGGTTATCAGTCAGTTGGATTGAGGTACACATGTAGAATCTTAGTTGCTAGTCTTTGATTATCTAGGAGTCTAGAACAACATATATAAGCGAACAATATTGTTTTCTATTAGATCCTCATCAGGCTTTACTCTAATATACAGTAATATTTATATGCATATACGAAATTATTAAACCAATCAAGGTAGTTTATAAGTCAATGATAACAATGGAAAAGAGTACATAATAAGTAAAATGTGAAAAGTACAATTTGATGGTGTGACAACAGGTGCATTAGTTTTTGATAAGCAATAATAATAAAGGTTCAAATCAATGTTACATAATCTGAAATAGGTCAATGATTAGAAAAATATAGAAACTAAGATGACAATTATAAAATTATAAGATCACGGAATAAGAAATGTTCAGATAATTGGACCATGAAACGTGTAGTTGAGAGAAAATAAAGTGGTAGGAGGGTGTGAAGAAAAATAATAAACGAAGAGACAGTCAGAAAAGGAATAAATGAATTCATTTATTACTTAAGGCCAAGGGAGAGATAAGGGAGTTACAAATTTCTTCTGAACACAATGACTTGACTTGTTGGCTCGGATTCCTATAGCTTCTGCAATGTGTAAGAGACGAGATCGAACACCATAAGGAAAACTAGTGGGAATCCGATAAATAAGGTATGATGAACGGTAGGAGGAACCAACACAGTCCATTGATGTTTGACAAACACTCACGTGGAACTCATACCCAGTCGATATTCACTAAGTGTTCAATAGATTCCAATCTATAATGAAAGGAATCCTCGGGACGGTCAACTGTAATGCGTTGATCAATAGAAGGACATTGGAATGATAATAACTCTGTGTGAGTGAGTGAGTGAGTGTGTGAATGAGTGAGTGAGTGAGTGAGTGAGTGAGTGAGTGGTGAGTGAGTGAGTGAGTGAGTGAGTGAGTGGAGTGTGTGAGTGAGTGAGTGAGTGTGTGAATGTAGATTTTTATCGATATGATATCTTTTCAGAAGTTGTAATAATGAATCACTTCTCGTACTGAGAATGAGTAAACAAACAACTTAAACTGACTTGAAATAACAAAATGGACATTGAACTGAACAAAATCACTATAGGATAAGGTCAGACGAGTGGATCAAACATAAATGCTACGATAATTGATGCAATTCATTTCAGTAAAGGAGAATAACTAACAGTACATACACTTTTTGATCAAAGTGAGATTGTCACTGACTGTTTTAAATAATAATAAACATTGTGGGAAATAAATTTCAATGTGTACTGTTTATTCATTAATGTGTCAACGAATTCGCGAACCTACTGTCCGTATATAAGTCATTAATTTAATGAGTGAATTTCTAATAATAGGGTGACTCAAATTAATTTTCACTACTCCATCGACCATACTTGAAACTGATATGTTCTACACGGAGATATATTAGTTTATTCGTGCAGTTTGGTTCAACTACAAATGAAACAACATTCGTAGTGTTCCCTAGTCTTAAATTCTTTCCCGTTAGTTTTGGTTTACAGTGTATACAAATTCGATTGGACGGTTTCGTCGATTGAAATTGTTAACAATATTCTTATTTTGCTAAACTAATTTAACCCTTGAAATTTTTCATCTCTATTCTTGATGTTTCTCTTCATCTTTCCCTCTTCATTTCGCTTCAAACACAAACATATAAATTGGTAAATACAATGAGATGTTGTTGGGGACGTTTGATTTCCAGAACTCACTTGGAAAAGAACCTGATTTTGTAATTTTATTTAGAACATTTGAATTTCCTTGTTTTCGCGCCGAAAACACTTTTCACCTTCATGTTGTATTTCCCATTTAGGAGAATCTTAAACGCTATTGGTTCATTATGTCTTTTAGTGTGCTATTTTATAACTCTCTCCAAGGACGGTTTTGTGTTGTATATATACGTTTTGATTTGTGTTTGTTGTTATCGCTGATGCTTCTGGCTTTTTGCTGAATATACTTCTCCGTTCGAACTCCGACTTCTCTCTCTAGTTAGCGGGGCTGGGACGCAATAGAATAGCTAGGTCGTTGGTCTTTGGTCACAAGTCTTTGTTCCCAGTTTAAGTGAATTCGTAACAGCTCCAGACCTAGCGAATTTGGTGATGGAGTTGGCGCAAACATGGACCATTCAAAAGTAGAATTATCGCTCGAGAAGCACCGTCAGTTGATGGTATTGCGAATAGTATCTCAGAGTTTCATTATGATCCTGATTCCAATGTCACATTTGATATGTGGTTTCGACGTTATGAAGACTTATTCAAACTTGACTTCGCTAATCAGGATGATGTTTGGAAAGTTCGCTTGCTGCTTTGAAAACTGGGTCTTAGTGAATTAGATAGATATTGCAACTTAATTCTGCCTCTAAACCCACGTGATCGCTCATTCTCGGACACCGTCCAGTCATTGAGCCAACAGTTTGGAGATAAATCTTCACTATTCAACGCACGTATTGATGTTTGAAGCTGACCATGAACGCAAACACTCATTTTCTAACGCGTATGGGTGTCGTCAACCCCAAATGCGGACGTTTCTTGCTGAAGTCGTTTTCTGAAGACCAATTTAAAGCCCTTATTCTCATCTGCAGCCTTCAATCGCAGAAGTTCAGTGACATTAGAACATGCTTGCATAGTCGATTAGACTAAGACCCCAAATTGACGCTCACTGATATTGCAAGTGAATATCAACGTCTAATGAATCTGCAGAGTGACACTACGACGGTCCAGAGTGGTGGTTTAGACCGTACCGAAGTTCATGTAGTCTAACAACCACACAACCCGCATGAGTCTGCCCCAGCTACACCTAGTTCAGGTCAACAGGCAAAAACAAATCCTCCTGTCCCATGCAGGCACTGCCGTGCATGGCATTTTGTTCGAAGCTGTCCATATAAACAACATTGGTGCAGGAAATGTAAAGCCGTGGGTCATAAAGATGGTTTTTGTCGAAAAAAGAAGCCGAACAGCTCCAGAAGTACTAGGAAACCTGTCCCTAAATCCTGCACAAATTTGTTGAGTCTAGTAGCAACCTGTCAAAACTCAACCCCAGGTGAGAGGAAATTTATTACCCTTAACATTAATGGGCATCCGTTTAGATTGCAAATCGACACTGCATCTGACGTGACAATTCTCCCACGGAAATCTTGGATCAGAATGAGTAGACCACGCACTGTGTCAACAATATAAAAACCTCATACTGCATGCGGTAATCACCTACGTTTACCGGGGTATGTTATATGACGCCAGATGATCTAAATTTACTTGGTTTAGATTGGTCCGATCAGCCAAAATTGGCTGATGTCCCGTTAAATATCATATGCCACCTGATATCACATCCACACGACCCTGAAGCATATACGAGGAAGCTTGTGACGCAGTTCTCATCTATTTTCCAACCTGGATTGGGTCGGTGTTCTGCCATGAAAGCAACACTTCAGTTGAAAACTGGGGCTAAGTCTGTTTTCCGCCCAAAAGACCCGTGCCTTATGCAACATTACCAACAGTAGATGGAGAATTGAATCGTCTTCAACAACAAGGAGTTATCACACCTGTTTCTTACTCTGCTTGGACAGCACCTATAGTCGTTATCAAGAAGGTCAACGACACGATACGTGTATGTGCTGGCTTTTCTAGGGGTCTCGATGCAGCTCTGGAACAGCATCGTTATCCTCTACCAGTTCCAGCAGATCTGTTTACTATGCTGAATGAGGGAAAGTTTTTCGAGAACCTGGGTCTAGCTGATGCTTACTTGCAAGTGGAAGTAAATGAAGCATCAAGGGAGCTGCTTACTATCATTACTCATCGTGGGTTGTTTCAGTATAACCGTCTGCCTTTCGGAGTCAAGACTGCCCCATCTATCTTCCAGAAACTGATGGATACCATTCTATCAGGTATCTCGGGGTCGCGGTTTATCTCGATGACATCTTAACTGTTGTGACGACATTAGAACAGCTAGAGG